AGCTAGTTCCTTCCCGGCATGCTCTCCTAAAACCTCACCAACCTTCCTACTAAACTGAACAGGGGGGAGCGGTCGTAAAACGGATCCCGGCCATCACACAGCGGGCACTCCGGAAAGATGTCTTCCTCCAGGTCCTCCGCCTCCTCCTCCTCCTCCTCCTCCTCCTCCTGCCCCTGGTGCTGCTCGTCAGCAGGCTCGGGGACCGGGGTTCGAGAAGGTAGGGGAGGGGGTGAGATCAGCCATGCGCTCGCTCATGCATGTGTTGAAAAGAGGAGAGCTGTTGCAGCCAGAGATATCTGAACTAAGGTTAGTACAACAAGATAGAAGATAAGTTAACACCAGCTGTTCCAAACAGAGAGAGCAAGAATAGGAATTCTGGGGGTTTTTTGGATTGTGTTTTTTTTTCTCAGATGGGTTTTGGGGTGGGTTTTTTTCTGCTTAAACCAAGGGATGTTGGGAAATAAAGACCTGCCCGTCCGGTGCGTCTCTAAAGGAAGCCACCAATGGCCATCAGCTATAAAGGGCGGAGAAAAGAGCGACCCAAGGAACCGGTGCAAATAGTGGGGATTCGCCTCGCTGGCTTTGTGGGCAACATGGGGATGGAGGAGGTGGCACGAGGCTCGCTGCCACCCCTGCTGCCAAAGGGAATCTCTCCACATGCCGTGGCACAGGGGAGATGCCTCCGCAGCAGGTAGGGTTGGTTGGGCCATGCGGCTCAGTCCCCTGCTCCCCCTGCCCACCGGGGCAGACCCCTTCTCCAAGGCAGCCTGTCCTCGTCGCCAGCACTGCACCCTTCCAACCGGTGTGCAGGAAGCGCACGGAGACACACGGCACATACCGTACAGACGGATGCTCGAACACCAACGCGTGCACATGGACACGTTCCCGCCGGGGTGGAGGTCACAATGGCACGGGCTCTCAGCCTGCTGGACAGCCATGGCCCCCCACCTCCCACCAGCAGCAAGCCAAGAGCCCGTGCCGCACAGCACTGCGTTACAGCAGGCAGCGGGAGCATTGCCAGCAGCTTGCGGGTCCCTCAGGGTCCCAGCAGCCAATGCAGAGAACCATCACAGGCCAGATGGGCCCTGACCAGCACCGGTGGGACAACACCCCGTGCACGGCAGAGCCGGCGGCACTTCCTCCTGCAGGGCTGCCTGCGGGTCCCAGCCGCGCTTAGAAGGAGCCGAAGCGCTCACCTGCCGACCAGCCTGAACCAGGGGAAGCGGTCGTAGAAAGGATCTCCACCGGTCACCACGTTGTCACAGTCCTCGATGACACTAGAAGGCACTTCTGCTGCACGGTCATACATTTCACGCATCAGGTCCAGGCGTTGCCTGCAGGCAGAGGGGGATACGGCAAGCAGCAGTGAGAAACTGGGCTGAGGCCAGCCAAGCCCTCCCCGGCACAGGCGTCGTTCACGCACCTCAGCTTCTCCAGGGTCCAGTAATGTGTTGCCCCATTCTTCTGGTCCTGCACCTCTACAGCCACGATGGTCCGGGGGAACGGCCGCTTCTCCCGGTCCTTGGCAGCATCAGGAGGCAGCAGGTCGGGAGGGAGAGGCGAGTACAGTGTGTCCGTGAGGAGCACAAACTGGAACTGGACCTGGAGAGGGGCAGAGGGGAACAGTGAGCTGCCCAGGAGGACAGCAGCCTCCATGTGGTGCCTTCGGCAACACCCTCCTCGGCACTTCCCCGGCTGTCCACACTTGTGGCTTCTGCCATGGGTGCCACAGCAAGCCAGAGAGGGGCCCCAGGCACCCACCTTCTTCTTCAGCTCCACGCTGATGGCGTTGGCTTCCTTGAGGAAGATGGCATTGCCCCAGAGCAGGTCACGGAGGGAGGTGAACTGGTACCACTTCCACTTCCTAAAGGCCCAGAGGGCCAGCTCAAACTCCCGCTCCGTCCACTGCACTGTGGGCACACGGAGGAACAGTCACCCCAGTGCTGGGAGGGAGGACATTGGTGCAGAGGTGCCCAGGGGACCTACGGTCCACTCTTCTTGCTCCCACAAAGAGCATCAAAACCCTGCGGTGGTACCCAGCCCTCACCTTCATCCTCAGGTTCTTCCTCTTCCTCGTTTGCCTCAGGGTAATACCTAGAGTCCATCTGCTTCTGCAAAGCCTCCAATTTGCTCTCATAGTCCTGGGGGAAGCAGGGAGAGGGATGATGCAACCCACAAGGTGTGACCTTCCTCTATGCTGCCACACAGAGCTCTCCCCCCGCTGCAGGAACCTGGCCTCCCTCCTCTGGATCCGTGTTTATGGGGGACAGCCCCAGGAAGAACAGGTCTGCCCTTGGTTTTAGGACACACAGAGCCATCCCATGCAAATAATCTGACAGGACTCAGTCATGTCTGGGCAGCCTGAGAAGGAGCCAGGTCCTGGCCACCTACCAGCCTCTGCTGCTCAAGAAGGTAATTTGCCTCCTCCCGCTCCCTCCGGTACTGGTCCTCCAGTTCCTGGAGCCTGGGGGGAATGGGGAAGGAGAGGATGACAAACCTGGAGCTGGATACTGAACTCCCCATTGCCCCAGCCCCTGTGCCCTCACCGCTGCTCCATCTCCTGCTTCATGTCAATGCCCTGCTTCTCCAGCAGCTCTCTTTGGGCGAAAGCCCAGTCCACAGGCTCAGCAGGGGTCTCGGCACATGGGGTCCGCTCCCGCTCCTGCCGAGCCTGCTCGGGATGGTTGAAGCGGAAGACATGGCTCTTCCCCATGATGATGCGGTTTCCTACAGGGATGCACACGGGGCGGGGGGAAAGGGCAGGGGTTTAATGTGGGACAACTTGCAGAATCCCCGTGCGATGGAGGGAGGTGGGTTAGAGCAGTGCTGGCGTGCCAGCTCCCCGGACCCACCTGAGCGCAGGATGCTGGGCTCTGTCACCTTTTTGCCGTTCACGTAGGTGTCAGCGCCTTCGCAGGGCTCCAGGGTTACTATTACTGTAGAGACGGCAGGCGGGGGAGAGAATGAGTGAAGATAAGGTGGAAGCAAAAGGATAAATCCTGCGCCTCCCACTCCACTGCTACTTGGAAAGGGAGAGCTGCCCCAGCCGGCACCCCAGGCGTGGAATGGGGGGACACTGGAGTACCCACTGTCAGCACCCACACCCTGGGCAACCAATGGGACTCGGCCAACACCATGTTCATTACAGCAACCTCAAGGACTAAAAGCAGCTGGAGACTGGACGTGAGAGGAGATCAGAGCCTCCAGCACGCACCTCCAGCCTCCCCAGGCTCATCTCCCAAAGGCCTTTCACCTCCAGGTTCCTACTTACGGGGTGGGCTCTGCTCCACATCTGCTCTTCCCTCCTGCCCTGATCACCCTGGCTTGCCTCACCACGGCAGCTTCCATGTGCCTTGCACGAGCTTCCCTCCCAGCTAGGTGAGGGCCATAGCTCGCTCTGGAAGCACGGAGAGGCCACGGCCATGCGGGAGAGCCCCACTAGCCGGAGGAGGGCAGGGCCCCTGGTTGGGGGCAGGTGCTGGGGACACGCAGAGGGACTGGGGACCCTGAGGAGGTGGAGCCCCTCCAGACAAGGAATACCTTCACCGCCGGTTTTGGTGTCGCTGCGGAAAAGGCAGTGCTCTTCCTTAATGAAGTGCCCGCTGAGAACAATGTCCTGCCTCTTCTCTGCATCTTCCCGGCCAACCCTGCCAGGGAGAAACCCAGCTCAATCCTTCCTCAAAGCAGCACCTCCCTAGGTCTCCCCCAAAACCATCCTTTGGGCTGACAGGAGCAGCCCTTGGTGCACAGCAGGACCAACATCCCCAACGAGATTGCCAGGCAAATGCTTCTTTCCCAAGTGGCTACGGCACCTTGGGGATGCCCAGCCCAGGGAGAGCTGTCACCCCGCTGCCCACCCGGGCAAGTCAGGCACTGAGATATCACCTTGTTATCCCATCCTTGATGTAGTAGAGAAGACACTCGGACATGAGCGGGTCCTCATTCAGGTTGACCAAGTGGGGCGTCTGGGAAAGATGAACAAGGAGTCACCCCGGTGCGACCCATCTACCCAAGTGAGGGATGCTCCTGAGGGAGGTAGAAACTCAGCAGCACCTCAGGCATCCCCCTGAGCAGGCTCTCCTGCCCTCCGTAGCTCCAGGACAACATGCCCAGGCAGGTACTTTTCAAGGGGACTGCAGAGAACCGAGCAGCCGGGATGAGGATGACCTGCCTCCACACGCCTCCTTGCTTTCCTCCTCAAAGGGCTGAGCCCTGGGCACCCTTCCCCTGGCTGCCTTTGAACATTCATCTTGCAAACAGGCCCAACATGGAGCCGAACACTTCCCATGGGGAGCCCCTGATATGGCTTCGTGTCTCCCGGGGCAGGACCCTGCTCGCCTGCACTGCATGTCCAGGGGTCTTTGCCTCACCGTAGCCCCCAGCTCTGCTGTGAACAGTGCAGCTGAGGCAGAGACACAAACCATGCAACAGCTGGTTTAGGATGAGGGGAGCTAAAAGTGCCTGTTTTCCTTCGCTGACAGTGCAAGGACAGATGAAGCAGCCAAAAGAGCAGGTCCCAGACCAGAGGTTCAACCAAAAATAGTGGAGGCCTGAAGCTGTATTTCCTGGCTGAATTTCACTCCCTGGTCTCCTTCCTAACAGCTACCTTCCATCACTTTCTTCCCCTGGGTCTCAAACAACCTTGTTCTTGACGAGAGGGAAGTTTCTCCCCTGGCCACAGACCTCTCCAGCTGCAGCTAGCTTATCTCATCCCATCGCAAGCTGCTGTGATTGCACCTTCAGGCAACGGGCAAAGTCCCAGAAGTACCAGTAGGTGAAGTTCTGAGTTTCCCAGAAATAAGAATAGAAACTGTAAGAAATGTCTTATCAGCCAACCAACATACAGAGGTTTCCCCATCCTGACAGTGCTACAAGCCCTGGCTGATAGGAGAGACTCACTCCAAATAGTGCAGGAGAGCTGAAGGTCAAGGGAAAGGCAGGCTCTTCTCGATGGTGTCTGGCAGGAATAAGTTGGCCATAACATTTAGCCTCAGGCCCCTCTGGGCAGGCATGTAGTCCCAGGGTCTGCGACTCCTTCAGCTTGCAGTTTTTCTCCAAATTTGCAAGGTTGGCTAGTAGAAGGCAGATGCTCTACCTTCCACTGAGCTCCCTGGAGACGTAACCACCCCAGCGATGGCATACAGCAGGACAACAAAGTCCTGCCCCGCTTTGCCCTAAATGGAATGGGGTTTTGCATGCCAGTGATGCTAACTTTCCTTGCCAGCCACTGGAGAAGTCTGAGGAGTTTCCACCCGCCAGATAGCTGAAGAGCAAGGAAGCACCAAGACCACCACATCAATGCACCATCTCCAAGGCCAACCTGCTTTGGGGAATAAACCCCCACACTTTCTACACAAAGGTCTGGGGTCTTAACAGGCAGAAGCTGAGACAAGAATGAGAAACAAAGACAATGGTGTACAAATTTCTCCTAAGAGCCACATCAAGGCATGCAAGGGGAAGGTCCTGAAGCCTTCATCACCAAGTGTCACCACCTCAGCTGGGGACACATGCATCTACGAAGACGTTTGGCCAAGTCAACCAGCATCAGCTGCCGGGGCAACTCTCAGAGCATCCCTCGGTGCTGCAAGAGAGCCGAGCGAGCATGCCCGGGTCCTACCTGCACGGGCCTGCACTGTGCCGCTTTGCAGGCTTCACAAGGCTGGGGCTGTAAACTGGGCATCACTACCACGATGGCAGTACAGATGAGCACGAGGCACTGATGTGCTCTAACTGGTACTTGGCAGGGTTTGCTGGTACACAAACTCTTTGGGGCACGGCGACTATTTGCTTAGAAAACACATTTCTCAGCAAGGACTCGCCAGTTTCAGGGACAGCAATTTCAAACACCCCAAAGTATGGATTTTTATAAGCTGACACCAAATTCCAACATAGTGATTATCAGCAAAGCCCCGCTGGAACGGGGACAGCATCCAGGCAATAGGGACTGAACGTTTAGCTATGTGTTCCTACCGACGTCCATACCCAGCAGGGTCCACACTGGGATTTCCCCTGTAGGTTTCAGAGCCAAGAAAAAGCTAGTGAAATATTTGGGGCTGGCCAGCAGCGACAGGGCATGTCGGAAGGGAGCTGCAGGGGTACAAACCGGTCCTCGTTTGCCAGGAAGAAGAGAATAAGATGATCCTACCTTTTTAGGAGAGAAAACACCCAAGGTGCCTCCATCCTCCCTCATGGCCACCCCCATTTCAGCCAGCAATGCCTCCCTGAAAGACAAAGGGAAAGAAGAACCTGTCAAAGCCCCACAAGCCCCGGGGGCTGGCACTAGACAAGCCCAGGATGGGACCCGAGCCCACAGGTTTGCCTCATGGATCACAGCCATAGGGCTTGCTTCAGCTCTCTCCATGCCTCAGGAGGGTTTCTCAGAGCAGACCACATCAGTGCAGGCTAACATGGTGGGCCCTGGGGTGCCCAGGCAGCAGCCAGGGTACAGCTGGACGGTCAAATTGCTCAGCTACCCCCAGGAGCTGAACTGCTGTAGGCAAAGTGCAGAGGAGGAGAGATGCCTGGGGAACACCATCCCATCCCACCTCACCCCATCCCATCCCATCCCATCCCATCCC